TGCTCAGAGATAAGCCTGTAGGTGATGACACTGCAGACAAATATGGGTTTTGTCACTTACACTGAAGTGTGCGTGCATGTGCACATCCCTGTGTGCTACTGGGGACTGAACCCAGGGCCTTTACACTGAGCTGCATCCCTAGCACCCTCCACCCCTTTTTAAATTTTGAGACAAGGTCTTTCTAAAAGCCATATGTAGGGCCGGGGATTTAGCTCAGTGGTTTCGCCGCCCGAGTTCAATCCCTGGTACCAAATAAATAAATAAATAAATAAAAACCATATGTATTTAAAGTGTAAAAGGTGATCTGATAGATAGTGAAATTAGTTCCATAGTCCAGTTTTTAAACTTGTCATCTCAAGAGTTAGCTTTTTCTGTGTGAGAACACTGGAAGTTCTCTCCCAGCAAATTTCAGGCATGAATACAGCATTATCAAATAGTCACCATGATGCACATCAGGTCTCCCAAATGTGTTCATTTTATAACTGCAAATTTTATACTCTGATCAACATGTCCCTATTTTCCCCTACCATTCCATTCTTTCATTTCTATGATTCAACTTTTCTACACACCTGAAATAAACAGGAAGACGGCAAGTTCGAGCCCAGACTGGTAACTTAGTGACTTAGCAAGATTTCATCTCAAAAAATAAAAAGGGGCAAGGGGGTGTAGCTCGGTGGTAGAGCACTGCTAGGTTCCATCCTCAGTACAGCAAAAAATTTAAAAATGTAAAATGTGAGAGAGAATCTCATGGAATATTCTTCCCAATTTAACCTCTAGCAATCTAGTCCATGTAACAGAAAATCAGAGTAGTTCATTTAAAGTGAAAATACTGACAATCTTTTCTGTTTTGTTTTGTTTTTTGAGGCAGGGTCTCCCTTTGTAGTTCAGGCCGACCCTGAACTCACTATGTAGCCCAGGCTGGCCTTGAACTCACAGCGATCCTCCTGCCTCAGCCTCTGCAGTGCTGGGATTACAGGCATGCATTACCACGCCCGGCTCCGACCATCTTTTTGATACATCTGTAACTACTCCTTGCCTGCCACCGACCTGTTCTTCAGCAGATATTATCAGTGTGACCTATAAATGCACTAATATATTACATTCCTCCACGTAGTGACAGGAAAGAGGTCTACTAATAAATTTCCTGCCAATCTTCAATTTAAACTCACTACAACAAGCACCTAAATAGCAAAATCAAATTATCATTCCCCACAAAAAGGAACCAGGACCCTTCGAGAAATGTCTGACTCCAGAGCTGCATCGAGGCACATGCATAATGAACTGTAATGTAGTTTGTGTCGTAAAGTCACAGGGACATCTCAAAAGTGCACTGGAGCTGGTGTGAAGGGCTCCCATGAGTCTATACAGACAACCCAGCATCAGATTAAATACCAAGAGGACAGCAGGGAGGGACTGGGCAGCAGAGGCCTGGCAAGAAGCACCAGGAAAGCTTACAGAGTGGCAAAAATGGACACCATGACTGTCGTGTGGGTGACAAGGGTACACGTGTTTGTCAAAACTCAGCAAAACTAATACCAAAGATCTATGCAATCCCATCTGTAAATTATACATCAATTTAAAGTAACTCCATTTTTACACACTGAGGAAGAAAAGTCACAAGCCTGACATGGTGCAGACCTGTAATCCCAGCTCTCAGGAGGCTGAGGCAGGAGGACCATGAGTTCGAGGACAGCCTGGGGTACACAGCAAATTCAACGCGAGCCTACACTATACTATACTGCAAAATCCTGTCTCAAAGAAAAGAAGAAAAATCGTAAATCAAATCAACAGCACAGAAATAGCATTAACAAAATTCCACACCCACTGATGATAAAGGACATGTCCAATGCACAGCTCCCACATCCTGGTGAAGGACCAGTGCTCCCGGAGAATGGGAAGGCTGGGTGTCTGCACTTACCCCTGCCCTTCAGCACCATACTGGAAGCCCCTGGCCAGGCCACAGAACAAGGGGAAAGAACAGACATACGGCTAGGAAGAGAAAAACAAGTCCTGCTCTCCTTGCAAACATGATTCTCTATGCAGGAAACCCCATGGGATCTAAAATAGCAGCTCCTAACACCTGTGAGCTTAGCAAGGCTGCAGAACACAGACTCAAGTAATCCACTGTATTTCTATACACTTGCAGTGTACAGCTGGAAACTGTTTTTTAATTTTAAGTACTATTTACAACACCACAAAAAATTGGTAAAAATCTAGCAAAATATGTATACAAGTTAATACACTGAAAATTACAAAATGCTAATAGAAGACATCAAAGACACAAACACATGGAAAGACAGCCCACCTTTAAGGGCCACAAACTCACTACTGCCAAGGCACTACTTTTCCCCAAGCTGCTCAACGTGAAAGGAACTGAATGACCAGAGCAGTACTGAGAAAGAATACTGGAGAGCACACTCTGCCTCAAGGCTGACTGCGAAGCCACAGGAGCCAGGATGGTGCGGCAGTAGGAGGCTGGCTGGAACCAGCAGAAGACCAGGCCCAGGAACAGCACCACACCCAGGGGGCCACCCGACTTCTAGACAGAGACCCAAAGTCAACTCGAGAGAGCAGGACAGTCTCTTCACGACATGGCTCGGGCACAACTGAACACCCACATGTAAAAAATGAACTGCTACCTGTATCTGTCACATTATACAGAGCTTCACTGAAAATGGATTACAAGTCTAAATGTAAAACTACAAAACTTCCAAAGAGGCACGGTGGCACACACTTCTATTCCCAAGTACTTGAGTGGCAGAGGTAGGAAAATTACAAATTCAAAGCCAGCCTAGGCAACCTAGCAAGACCCTGCCTCAAAGTTAACAAACAAACAAAACCTGGGCGTAATGGCTCATGCTTGTAATTTTAGCATTTGGGAGGCGGAAGCAGGAGGATCACTGTGAGTTCAAGGCCAGTCTGGGCTATAAGGTGAGTTCAAGACCAGCCTGAATTACACAGGGAGACCTTAGCTTCAAAAAAAAAAAAAAAAAAGCAGGGCTAGGGACTGGGGATGTAATTCCACACTTCCTGGGCTCAATCCCCAGGACCACCAAAAACCAAAAAAATTATAAAACTTCCAAAAGAAAACACAGAAGCAAAGGGTTCTTAGATATGATATCAGAAACATGATCCATTTAAAAAATGGTAAGCCCTACTTCATCCAATTTAAAACATTTCCTCTGCAAAAGCTAAGTATTGAGAGAAGAACAGACTAGGGGAAAACTTGCAAATCTCATGTCTGACAAAAAACCTGATATCCATATTATGCAAGGAGCTTTCAAATGCACCAATAAAACAAAATTCAATAAAAAATAAGTGAGTCATAAACAAATACTTCATGAAAGACAAACAACCGAAGATTGCAAGCAAAGATGCTCATTAGTCTTAGTGACACAACACACTGAAACAGGTGCGTACCTATCAGGGTGACTCAAACAGAACCCTGATGACAAGCGGTAGCAGGGAGGGCAGCAAGGAGGCAGGCCACACTGCTATGGGACGCCAACCAGCAGAAAAGCTGGCCATTTCCTAGAAAAGCAAACATACATTTACACAACCCAGGAATCAGACTCCTAGGTATCTACAGAAATGAAATCAAAGTCCATGTTCACTCAGAAAACTATATGAGAGCAATTACAGTTGCTTTATTCATAAATCCTAAATGAAAACAACCCAAGATCTTCCAAAGGGTAAAAGAATGAATAAGGCACAACTTATTCAGGAAATGAAGCACTACTCAGTGACAAAAACTACTGGTAAATGCAACAAACTGCACCCCCTCCAGTGCTCTATGCGGAGCGAGAGCCTCCACCCCAGCCTGGAGAAGGCAGTCACAGAGCTGGAGAACACAGATGAAGTTAGAGGGATGAATCCAAGGGGAGACCAGACAGGTCTGTGTGGCAGAACTGTTCTGTGTTTGACTGTCATAGTGGGGAGTACACGGCTCTATCAATCTGTCCTGATAAAGCACGGACAGCCCCATGCTGCAGTGTCTACAGGACAGCTGCTCTGCACTTCTGGGAAACACTGAGGTCAGTGAAGGCTGAGACAGTGGCCCAGATTAAAGACCAAAGAGGCAGGAAGACTATACCCTGTGAGACCCTGGTAGGAATCCTGGGATGGGGAGAGGGCTGGAAAGTGCAGCTACAGAACAGCAGATGGAATCTGAAATACACTATGGATCACTGTACTGGGGTTAGGTAAGCTAACACCCTTGTCTACTAGGTGTTGAAGTAACTAGGGATAAAGGGGCATTATGTGATGTCACATGTATAGATGAGAGAATGAAACTAGTGCAAATGGGGCAAAAAGTCAACAACTGGTAAATTTAGACTAGATATCAAGGGAGTTTCTTGTATGCCTATTGCAACTTGTACAATATGTTTGAAATTATATCAAAATTTAAAATAAAAACAAAAAATAAAAAATATCACCAAAGCAGAAACTGCTCTTAGAACCCAGCATGATCTATTCCAAAAGTGCTCGGCTCTGACACTGTCTTAAATTCCTGGCATCACTAGACTGCACCTGCTGACCTCCCCTGGGAAGCCCCCGGCCCTCGTGCCCCGGGGTAGTCTCACGCCAGCATCTCCTCTAGCTAAGGAGTGTACCACATTGTCATCTGCCAAAATCTGCTCTTGTTCTGTTTTGCACTGTTCTCAAAATACAATAAAAGACACAAGAAAGAACGAACATTTAAACACAGCACACAAGGAACCCTGAGCATACAATCAACAGGACTTGCAGATTAGATGACATGCACACTAAAAGCTACTACCACACTGCAGGTATGCAAAAAAATAATGCAGTAAGCTCTGTGTGGTCACTGATTCATGCAATTTAATAACTATATGCAAGAAGGCTTTTTTACTTTTAAAAAATAAGGAATGGGCTCTGGAAAAAAAATGCCAAAGAGCAAATAGTAAATTGAAGTTTAAAATACCTGGATGAAGGAAACGTTTGGGATGAGACTAAAGTTTAGAACCATCGAAAAGTACCTGAAATGGTTGCTGCTGGGATGAAAAAGCAGCAGAAACATTTGGCGGAAGCTGGGTTGCTATAGCAACAGGAGTCCCAGTCTGCCCATCCTTGCCTGTCACAACCTTTACCTGAGAGAAATATTTTGAGAAAAAAAGCAACATAATTTTTAGACTGCTCAAAATTGTGTTAGAATTTCATTGCTGTCAGCTCACTGATTCAGGTGTTTAAAAATGAAATGTTTTTGCATCACATCCTGTAAAAGGACACTGAACTGACAAATTTGTAACATAACAACTGCCAATCTTTAGGACTCCAGTTTAGGTCAAAGAAAACATCCTAGGTTTGGCACCTTCAAACCTTAAAGTGGGAATGGCAGACTCAAGTAACAAAGCCCTGCAGCTTCCTGGGCCATCTTTACCACAGACAGCACTGCTATCTACCTGCATTAGGAAGCTGTAAGCAGGGATTTACTTTTCTTCCCAAGTACAGATAAGGTGACTGAGCTCACAGACAATGTTGGTATAAACATAAAAAGAACTGGATTTCACTGTTTCATGGCAATAGAGGGAGTCCTTGAAACAGTCATATAGACCTGAAAAACAAAACAGCCCACCCCGGGAAGGGTGCTGAAGGAGACACAGATGGCCAAGCCACAGACACACCCATCGATGCCAGTGAGGACGCTGCAGCAGAGAGACAAGCTTTTGCTCACCAAAAGCCAGTTTCTTTGCACAAGGGCTGACAAAGATTTAAACTGTTTTAGCTCTATCATAAAACAAAAATAGCTTCACCAACATAGTGTACACTACACAACACAGAGGCACAAAATACAGTGCATTACAGTACAATTCTCTGTCACCCTGGTTTAGGAAGCACAAATAAGAGGACCTTGGGAACACCTATGGTGTGGGATTTATTGTGCACCTATCCTAGGCACCAAAACATAAACTGTCTACAAAAGATTCTATCTTAAATATCACTTAATAGGCAAGTGCAGAAGTGTGGATTTAAAATGTGATCTCAAACCTAAAACTACTTCTAACAATGGGAAAAAATTCTAATTTCTTTGCCATAATAATTTTTTTTTTTTGGTACCGGGGATCAAACTTGGGTCCTTCCGCTTGCGAGACAGGTGGCAGAACCACTGAGCTAAATCCCCGGCCCGATAACTATTATCTTAATTATGAAGATCTCCTATAAATCCAGCTGTGGTGACAGACACCTGTAATGCCAGCACTCTGCGAGGCTGAGGCAGGAGAATTCCAAGTTCAAGCCTAGCCTGAGCAACTTAGTGAGAACTTGTCTCAAAAAATTAACAAGGCTGGGAATACAGCTCAGTGTGAAAGCCCTGGGTTTGATTCCTGGCACTGCAAAATGAAATAAATAAATGGAATCTCCTATAAAAATAGTGAGTTGTAATTTTGGCTGGTGATTTAAACTCTTTGTTAAAAACTACGCTGGCAGTGTTTACGGACAGTGCTACATAAATACCATGTGAAACCTGGAAACCAGGGGAGAGGTGCTAAGCCTTACCAGAAAGGCTGGGGACAGCAGTCAGTGTCTGCCATGACCACAGGCCCAGGCGAAGGGGACACTGGACTGCACTGGCCAGGCCTGGGTGAGATGGGCTCTGGTTCTCAGTGATGGCACCTGGTGCTGAGTAGGCACCAGTCACGGCCCGGGCACCCCCTTCCCTACTCAGCTGTATGGGAACAGCTCTTCCCCACCACAAAGAGAGAAGGGAAATGCATTCTCCAACCTTACGCCTCCATCAGACCCTGATGAACTCACAATCTGTGTAATACCCAGGCTCAAGAGTTACTTTTCCACTCGCTGCTGTGTGCACTATAATTTGCTTCACACAGATCCTCTACACTATTAAGCTGCTGTTTCTTACCTCATCATTAATAACCTCAGATTTTTCTTCCTCTTCTTCCTCCTCTTCATCTTCCTCTTCAATGTCCAAATCATTCTGCCTAAGATACGCTTGTAACGGGGCATAATGCTTCTTCTTAAAGGCTAGGAAATCCATCATGTTCCCCTGAAGATGTTGCAAGAAAAACAGTTCAATAAGATACTCCTTGAAGGCCTCCCTGAGCACCTCCATCTCCTTGTAGTGGTAGTCCAGGCACTGCTTCCGCATCTGCGCCATCTCCTGGGAGGCTGGGGGGATCTCCTCCAGCTTCTTGGGTACCTTCTTCACCCCTAAGCTGCCCACAGACGTGAGGGGTAGGCTGGAAAGGCCCAGGGGCATGGTAGTTCTGGACGGGCTGGTGGGTGGTGGAGGGGATGTCATCCCAAATGGTGAGGGTCCCCCAACCCCAGGGAGTAGCACGCCGGGAGCCCTCTCGAATCCAAGAGGTCTGCTCAGTGGCTGGCCCTGCAGTGCCTGCTGTTGCTGCTGGATCAACTGGCCCTGGATGATGCTGCTGATCTGGGGCGGCAGGCTTGCTGTGGTGATATGGCCTGGGGTGGCCAGGGGCTGCAGGCCAGTCCCACCTGCAGCCACAGGGCTCTGGGGCCCCAGATGGTGAATAGTGCCTCCTGACTGCGCATGCGGTTGGGACAGTCTCCGTTCTCGGGCCACAATGGGAGTCCCTGCATGCTGGAGCTGAACCTGGGCTCCCTGAGCCATCGGGGCAAGGCCTGGTGCCTCCTGAAACACAAAGTGCCCGCTGCTGGATGGACTCAAGCTGATCTGCCTCACAAGCACACTGGCATCCACAAAGCCTCCAGTGGGGCTGCTGCTGCAAATACCCAGCCCTGGGCCCGGGGCCCCAGCACGCACACTCTGCAGGGCCTGCCCCGCTCCTGGGCTGGGCTGTGTGGGGCTCTGCGTCTGGACCTGCTGAGACAGCGGGGAGGTAACTTGGATGTATGATGGGGAGCCATGCTCAAAGCGCCTCTGCTGCGCACTGAACTGGAAGCCTGGTGAGGTAGGGCTGGGCAGCGGCAGCGGGGCCAGTGTGATCTGCTGGTTTCCTCCCACGACAGGGCCAACGCTCTGCAGGGTGATGTTCACATTCTGTCCAGTCACGGGACTTCTGCTCATCAGCTGCTGTATCTGGTAACTGGGGGACTGCGGTGCGGAGGGGCTGGCAGACGGAGCAAAGGGTGCTGCGGGGGATGGGGACAGGTTTGGCTGAGCCGGCTGCTCCTCTTCACTGCCGGTAAAGGACCTGGACCGCTGCAGCGGGTGCTGGACATTCTGAGGACCGCTGCCATGGTGCATTATCACCTCCCTTCACTATTTCACGTAATATTCTCCTAGGAAATAAAAATTAAAGCAAGTTACTGGGAAGCAGATAAAACTGCTTGATTACCATTAGTACAATTGCCACCTGCCAGCCAAGGAAGCTACTCCGAAGGTATGTTCCCACTGGCATCTGATTCAGACCAGGGGGCATCTGACTAATGCACCCCAAACAAAGTGCAAGAGGCCACTACATCTTACCCACAGACAGCTTTTCCCTCTTTCCTCACCACCCAAGATGTCAAAAGAAAAAAAGGTCAAGGGAAGAAGGTGGCCCCAGGCCAGGGTCGTGAAGAAGCACGAGACCAAGACTGTAATTTCCTGTTTGAGAAAAAGCCTAAGGATTTTAGCAGTGAACAGGACACTGAGCCCCAAAGGAACTTCACGCACTATGTCCAACAATCCCACTACATCCAGCTGTAGCACGGAAGGAAGGGCTCTCCTCTAAGGTACCTGACAGTGTCTCCTGCAAACTCACTGTCCCCAGCCTTGCATACCCAAAGAGCCACCCAGCTGCCTGAGTGGGCTCCAGAGGACAGACCTGAGATGGAATGGAGACAACTGGCCTGGACAGGGAAAAAAGCTGCCAGAAAAGGGGACAGCCCCAGCAAGACACGGCCAGTCCTTGGAGCAGAGGTCAATCCTGTCATGTGGTGAAGACTGCACATGATGTGGATTCGAACGAGCTGGGTGCCTTCCTGGCCACCCATGCAGTAAGATGGGGGGCCCTCCTGCACCACCGAGGGGAAGGCCAGGCTGGATGTTCTATCTCCAGCAAACGAGCAGCACCCTTGCCTTCAGTCATGCTGCCTCGAGAGGCAGAGGTGCTTTTGGGACCGCGTACAGGACAGTGATGCACTCCACTGCCACTGGGAAGGCAATGTCCTGGCCCAGACTCACTCAAAATGCCAAGCTGGGAAAAGCAAAGGCCAAAGGGCCTGCCCTAAACTGGGTTAAATGTACAAGGCTGGGATTCTGCATAGAGAAATAATAGAAACTGCCCTTCAAAAAGAAAAACACAGGCTAGGGATGCAGCTCAGAGGCAGAGCACTCACCCGGGGAGGGGAGGGATAGAGGCAACACTGGACACCATCTCTTTCAACATAGACTAGAAAAGTGTCCTGTGAGTCCCTGCTGTGCCCAGGGCCTGGGACTTGGCCTGGAGTGCGGGTGCATGACCCTGGCAGCTACTGCTCACACAGTCAACCTTGCTGATGGCAGTGCTGACCCTGTGGGTGCCATGCAAGGCCACCCAACCCATGAGCCCTCACATGCTGCAGTGAGTGACCACGGGAGGCGTGGAGGATGAAAAGACTCAGTTCAGTCACTAAGAGGCCCAGAGGGGCTGTTTCTCCACCGAGAGTGCCCAGCCATCGGGGAGACTCTAGGAGAAGAAGGGCCAACAAGCCAAGAACTTTCTGGCTATTTATTTATTTATTTATTTATATTTATTTATTTTTCGGTACCAGGGATAGAACTTAGGACCTTGAGCCTCTGGCTTTTATTTAGAATATCAGTATAAGATAAAAAAACAGGAAAAAAGCAGTTTTTGGCCAGGAGCTGTCTCAAGGCTAGGCAGTTTTTCTTGGGGAAAGAGGAAAGACACAACATACCTCACTTAATCTAAATTTTTGGTGTTGTTTAACCATTTGATCCTCACACAGCCTGTGTGCCTTTGCCCTGCATTTTAATCATTCACTCCTAGCCAGGTCCCTCACACTCACAGCCACCCCATCTGAGGGACAGGAGATGAGTGGCTGGAGGCCAGGCAGCCAGGAGGCTGCAGCGGGAAGGACCGACCAGAAAGGCCTTCTCTAGCTCCTCGCGCAGCACAGCAATCTGCCGACCTCTGCCCTTGGAGGGTAGCACCCCGAGGCACTCTGCCCCACTTCACCAGAACACGGCACCCTCGATTGCACTAGCAGGCTGGGGGACCAGACATTCCCTTGTAAGCCCAGTCCACAAACCAGAGCCACTCGTGCTTCAGGGCCATGCTACTGGGGGACAAAGAGACTCTGCCCTAGGAGGGTGACAGTCAGTACAGGAGCCATGATAAAAAGGAATCAAGTCCTAGGACAGAAGGCAAGCATGGCCTCAGACCCTAACCCTCCACAAGAGCACAAGAGAAGAAAAGCAAGAAAAGGAGGCTCACAGGGAAGGAGAAGGGAACTAGCAAGGACCTCGCCTGAACTGTTGGGCAAGTCCTCTGGGCGCGCAACACAGCCCAGACTCTACGTGAGGTCATACCAGTTTCTCAGAGGCTCAGAACTCCACAACAGCATAGAGTGAGCGCGCTAGACAATGGTGAGAGCAGAGGGGCCCAATGGAGAAGGAGAGGATGGAGCAGGATTCACCCAGCATCAGACTAGGGCAGCTCTGCAATCTCTGTACAGGCCATAGGCACAGAAGTCACTTTCACCCCGGGAGGAACAATGGTGCAAGTGAGTGACAGATGGCAACCAGCACCCAGCTCAGAGCCAGGTCCCCAGGGGAGGTGGGACACACCCACGCCAGGGCAGCTGCTGATCAGAGCCAGCCGCCTCCTGGCATGAAGGAGAAGCAGAGCATGAAGGACTGCACTGTGCACTGTGGGTGCCAGGCTGAGCAGGTGCTACCACACGGCTGTTCCAGCCATGTCGGGGATACCCAGCTCCTCACCTTCCTGGGGTTCCTGACACCCTGACATCATGAACCTGAAGGAGCTACAAAATTTATAGCACTCTTCCAGTCCTGAATCCCAAGTTGAACTGTGGCACACATGAAATCAAATTATACAATTTACAAATGCACAAGTATATTCCTAGCATACATAACAAACAAGTACGAATTTAAACCAGAAGAAAGGCAAGGTTTGACCAGACAGTTAGTCCCTGAAGATGGAGCTGAAGACACGGGCAAGATCAGCAAACTGAAGGGAAAAAGGGAGCAGAGAGAGGAAGAGCCTGTGCTGCCCACCCAGGCAGGCCCAGTACTGCACCCTGACTCGCCCTGGGCTGCAGGGACCTCTGCCTCCTTGCGGTGCTTACTGCCTTCCAAAGAAACTTCCTCCTTGACTTTTTAAAGCAAATATCACGAGGGGAGGTGAGAGCGGAAGAAAAGCCAGAGCAGACACACAGGTGTGCTCAAGGTTACACCGACAAGACCCCAGAGCAGCAGGCCATCAGTGGGAAGTGTCAAAAGCAACTCACAGATGTGGTGGTTCTTTAAGACACAATAGGTGCACGTACCAATTGTCCACGATAAATGCACTCACTGTGTATCACAAATGTGTACTAGTGAAAGATAATTAAAAATTCAAGGCTGGGGATTTAGCTCAGTGGTTCTGCTACCTGCCTCGCAAGCACAAGGTCCCGAGTTTGCTCCCTGGTACCAAAAAAAAAAAAAAAAATTAAAAACTTTCAAACATGACCATTCACAAAACCAGGGGAAAGTAAGAATTGGGGACAAAATGTTGTAACACACTGATATATTCAGAAAATTCAACATAAACTCTCAGCACAAATCACATATCAAAATAAATAATGAACTTTTAGAAGCAAACTTTTATATCAAATGTAAAAAAATTAAAACAAATTTCACCAACATCCATTAAAAAAAAGACTACAAATCAAATACTAAGTCTTGAAAGGAAATTCAAGTTGCAATCCTAAAACTAATAAAGCTGTATCTGAAAAGAAAGATTTGAAGACAAAATTTTCAAACATATAAAATTCAAAAGGGCTGAGGGTAGAGCTCAGCAGTACACGCCCAGTACATGTGAGGCTCTGGGTGCAATCCCAGCAAGCACAAGACAGACAGGGCATGGTGGCACATGCCTGTGATCCCAGCACTCAGGAGACTGAGGTAGGAGGATCTCTGCGAGTTCGAGGCCAGCCTGGGCTACATAGCGAGTTCAGGGCCAGCCTGAACTACAAAGGGAGACCCTGTCTCAAAAAAAAAAAAAAAAGAAAACAGTTCAGAGGAGAATTTGGATCCCTTCCACATGCTACTAATGAATATAACACAACCTAAAGTGTTTCTCCAGGCCCATGAGCGAGGCACAAGAGCAGATGGCTGGTGCTCTACCTCCTCACACTGCTGAGGAGCAGATGGGAGGCAAGGGGGGAAGCCAGGAGCTCCTCTTGGAAGCTGAGGTGCAGACGGTAGTGTGGAAGTGAGAGGGACCAAGAGGACCCCCATCACCTCTGACCTCGTAATCCTACTTGTGAAAATCTATCCTAGGTAAACTAATCCACCAATTAAAAACACTGTAAAATATAAATATATAAAAATAAAAATAAAAAGGGCTGAAGATGTAGCTCAGTGTGAAAACCCTGGGTTCACTGCCCAGTACTGATGGGGGAAAAAAAAGGTCAAAGATGTAACCAGAAATACTTAACATCCAAGTTTAGACCAGTGATGGTGAACCTTAGAGCTTTCAATGGTAACACCCTGCTGCACCACGCATGCCATAGGTTCATCACCACAGTTCTAGATGGAGAATATGTAATAAATATGGAAAGTATTCCTATTTTAGTTTTGTTTTGCAAAACAGTCTTAGCGGGGCATGGTGGTGCACGCTTGTAATCTCAACAATCAGGAGGGTGAGACAGGAGGATCTTCTCAAGTTTGGGGCCAGACTGTACTACATAGTGTATTCAAGGCTAGCCTGAACTACACAGGAAGACCCTGTCTCAAACAAAACAAAACAAAGTCTTGCTGTATAGTCATCCAGGCTGGCCTTGAATTCACGATCCTCCTTCCTCAGCCTCTGGGTTCAGAGGCATGCACCACAATACCTAAACAGATTCCCCCACTCCCACACGGAGGTTTGAATCCAGGGCATTCACACCAAGCTACATTTCCAGCCTTTTTTTCGTTTTTGAGGCAGAGTCTCACTAAATTGCCCCACTGGTCTCCAACTTACAGTCCTCCTCCTTCAGCCTTCCAGAGACCTGGGATTACAGATGTGTGCCCAGCGTGGCCAGATACATCACTAAGTGACACAAGCAGGATATTAATTGTACAGCTTTAT